TCTCACTGGCTTGAGGATTATGTGACAAAAATAGCAGTGACTTCTTCCCACAAAATCTTCAGCAATTACAGCCTGGACGCCTGGCTATGAAGTCCCAGGACAACCATGATGGATGGATTGTACTGCTTTTAACAAGGGACTGGAAAAGAGGAGGCATCCTTTTCATTTTGTCCACTCTCTCAACTCATTAATGTCCATGTTTTACTATGAATTGAATGCCACAGTGAGTGTGAATGCACAGCCAGCTTTGGACATTTTTCTCACTCCTTAGAGGGGATCTAAATCTATCTGAAATGCTCTTGGGGAAAAAAGAATGTCTGAAAGAAAAAAAACCTCCACTAAACAACAAAATAGCAAAATTAACAACAATAAGAAAGGTTGAACCTGCACAGATGAGCAAGGATAAGGGGTCTGAGTTAATGTCTTACTCATTATTCCACGTATTAAAAAACTGATCAATAACAAACAGCAAACATCAGCTATGTAACTCAAGCCATGTCATTTCCATTGTTTGTATTTTGAAGACTGAAGTATTTACAGTTTCCGTGCAAACTAAAAGTATGCTTCCATGGTGGTAAAACAATTACAGCCCATAAATTGGGTACTGTCACTTTCCGCTCAAGTGCCTTCATGGTGGATTTACCTAAGCTGTTTTACTTCACGTTTGTGATGGACTAAGGATGCACTGGTTTAGCTTATATTTCTGATATGCATGGGCCTTGCACAACCTAAATTCACAAAGAATTTTACTTACTACCAGTGCAGCAAAAGCATTTCATAGGCTCAGAGTGAAAGGCACAGGAAAAAGCCAATGCCCATACACGTTGCCTTGGCAAGAAGAGGACGCATCACAGTAAAGACCTTACTCTCATTCTTCCTAGCTTCTTGTTGTATAACTTCACTGCTTTCCTCAGTGCTACCAGTGATTTCTACAGGATAAATAGGGATAGGGAAAGATGCAAATTGCGTGGAATCACTCTTGAAAGGAGGAGTAAAAACAAAGAAAAAAGGAAATGTGGAATTTCTTCAAGTAGGACAAATTGTACTAAAGACAGCTTAAAGCCACATCGAACATTTTTAACTATTCCTCTACAGAAATGCCAGCTGAGATCACCACTGGAACAAGCTACGATCCATCTGGAAAAAGAGATGGCCATGAGTGGACATGGTGTGCCAAATGGGACACTGTTCTTAAAGATGATGTGTGACACAAAGAAGTTTGCAAACAGCTGGCTTTGTAGGCACATGTGGGCAGGCAAGCCCACACAACGTTGGAACAATACTGGCAAGCCACTTATTCAGCAAAACAACAAAGTTCTGGGTATGTGACCATGTGACTGACAGGGATGAGTCAATTCTAAACCTAGACACTCTGAATAAACTAAACAACAAAAAGGTTTACACATCCCAAAACCATGTGTAACTTTAATCTTTGTAGGACTTCTGCTAAAATCCAGCATCTCTCTAGAAATACTGCTTATTCTGTTCACTCCTCTTCCCCGTAATTGCAAGCTTGGTAGGAATCTTAAATGCCTTGGCTAAGAAAAAGGTACAGAAATGGCAAAACTATTATCAGCTATTTCTGGCATAAAGAGTATTGTAGCAAATTCAGACTTCAGTTGGGGAAAAAACAAATAAATATTTCAAAATATACAGACTCATGATAAGCATTCAAAAAGCTTCCAGCAACATATATAAAGCAATTTTGTCCAGTATAGAAAACTATGCCTTTGGAGGGGGAAGTCACCCACATGGACTTTGTAATGTCTATTTTGTCCAAAATGGGATAGTCAGTTCGAACCTATGACTTCTTCTACTATAGCTATCCATCTCTGTCTATTTTTATGTGCTGTGAGGTAGCTTCAGATTCATCTAAGTACATGCTTTTGTCTTCCAATGAGGAAGTTGTCACCTGAACAACCATATGCAGTCCCTGGCATTGCCTAAGGCTACATTTCCTAACTTTATAGGACAACTTCCAGCTCCAGCTCAGTATTCTAAGCCTCCTCCTCAGTATCCTGAATGTTTCTGGGACCAAGACGATTAGTTCTGGGAGCACATTTGCCAAATACAGGTTGTACCATGGCTGCTCTTTGCACAAAGGTTTGGCACCAGCAGCAGATACGCCCACAGAGCACTGCCCAAGGCCCTGAAGCACGGGTTCCTGCAGTTACTGCAACCACACCAGCCAGTGTGGCTAACATGCACCGATGTTTACAGTACAGTTACTACAAACAGGATTGACAGAACCATATCCAGAACACTTGTACTTTCCTCTTTCTAGCCCATCTCCATAATGTGCTCTACTGTCAGACCTGAGCCCCCATTACAAACCCCTGTTTTGTTTAACTGCTTATAACAGACATCAGAAAGGAAAAATCCCCCGTAGGGAGGATTACTAATTTAGTGAAATCCTGCAGGGACTCAAGAAAGTCTGCAATAAAGTGAAGCATGCCGTGGAGTTTTCTAAAGACTAATAGGGTTTGAGAGAAAACAGGTACTCCCAAGCTGTCACTGCTCTTCTTTGCAGAGATCCTGCTCTGTTGAAAAAGGCAACATTCTGATTTGTGAATCTGATCCAGTGTTTTTAACTGGGCTGCTTTCCAAAGTAATGTATTAAAGAACTTCCTTGATTCAAATTATTTTCCCATTTTAGCTTTCTCAAGGTGGACTCTCTCCACTGACCAAATTTGTTATTTTGATTATTCACCATTTCCAAAGCTAATGAAATGTTGGTTTAAGGGGTAGAGTGAAGGCTTTAAAACATGATTCATCAAAACAGTGAATTTACTTTTTCATTTGCAAGTAACTGATCAAATTCTGCAAGAAGAGTGTGGAACTCTGTTCAGTTCTCAGTTCACTATTATGGACTCATGATTAAATCAATCACTCATTGATGTGAACCTGAAAAACCTCAGGATTTTAGTTTTAAAATGCCGTTCCCAGCTGCGTTACAGCACACTGAATTGGAAGTATGGCTGAGTTCAGCCAGAAACTTCTTTGTATGCTACTTCAGACGGAGCCTCTCACACCTCTCTCTCCCTCTTCTTGGTTTAGGCATATATCCTGAATGACTATTAGTTACATATAACTAATCTCAGCTGCCATCTATTAAGAACTGAAAGAGACATAAATGTGACGGATGGACCACCATAAAAGTATTGACTGGATAAAGTATTGACTGGATGGCTGCACACAGAGAGTTGTGGTCAACAGCTCAGTGTCCAATTGGGGAGCAGTAACAAGTGGTGTCCCTCAGGGATTGGTGTTGGGACCGGCCTTGTTTAACATCTTTGTTGCTGACATGGACAGTGGGATTGAGTGTGCCCTCAGCAAGTTTGCCAATGACACCAAGCTGTGTGGTTCGGTTGATACCCTGGAGGGAAGGAATGCCATCCAGAGGGACCTTGACACGCTTGTGAGGTGGGCTGATGCCAAGTGCAAGGTCCTACACCTGGGTCAGAGCAATCCCAGGCACAGCTACAGGTTGGGCAGAGAAGAGACTCAGAGCAGCCCTGCAGAGAAGGACTTGGGGGTGTTGGTTAATGAGAAATAACATGAGCCAACAGTGTGCGCTTGGAGCCCAGAAACCAACCGTATCCTGAGCTGCATCCACAGCCCAGCAGCCTGGACACAGAAAGCTGTTTAGATATCTACTGAGTTTTCTGAGACCACCTAGCCAAGTTTGGTACTTAAAGTCAGATGAAAAAAACCTGGACTTTAGGTAACTTCCCTGCTTGAGCACATCTGAAAAAATACTAAGCAAATATCAGCTCCATTCAGTGACCACGTACTGTATAAGGTCCAATTTCAGGTCGCACAGCTAAAAGCTTAATTGAGTATTTGTACATGTTTCTGTCTTAAGAAGGTGTTTCCCAGTGTGGTCTACCTGCGTAGAGTCTGAGGGTCTGAGCACATACTATTTGGTGCAGAGAAACCCTCTCTGTTGTTCTTTACTGATTTTCACAGTATGCAACACGGACAGAGATCATACTGATGAATAAATACAGGCCAGGCAACCCACGCTGTTGAGATAAGGTTCTTAAAAGCCTTAGCATTCCTAGCAAAAAATATTATTCATCCATTAAATTAAATACAATATACACCCAAATCCTAGCACTTGCCCTAGAAACCTAGTCCTAGAAACCTCAAAGATGTCATCAGAGCACCCTTTCAGGAAACAGTATTGCCAAAGAGACTGCTCCTGGTAACTTCAAAAGGCTTACCTTGTGCAAGCTCTACCCACTTCTGGGACAGCAGGTCACATAAGGATGTGCTATGTGCTTGTAGCAACACAGCTCTAATGGACACTGACGTATCAGGGATTTACCTACCTCCAAAAAAACCCAGGACTGAAAGCAGAAAGAAGGAATGCTGGTCTGAAACACTTGCTTTTTTCCCCTGAAGTCTAGACTGCAACTCAGCTACCATTTCACTAAGTAGTATTATGTTTTCACTGCAAGTTTTGTCAAGAAATAAGTGATGGTTTTGCAATACCAAGAGAAAGACTGTTCTAATCTACCTGATGCCTTTGACATTGCTTCCTCTACAGCCAACCTCCAAGACAGAAATAAACACTGTTGCCACAACCATGAAGAAAAAAACTGCAGCAACAATAGCTACAGAGGCTTGAAGAACCCTCTGAAGCACCCAAACTCCCCAAGATACAGCTGGCAGCAGAGCTGCCATTACCAGCTCTGCCCCATGCCTAGCACTACTTGTTAAACCAGAACTGCTCTCCAGACTCTGATGGTGGCCAAGAGGTACTACTAACAGCCTAGCTTTTCTGTGCTGCTTATGTTATGCAGACAAGCTGTGGAAAACAAGGAGAATTAGAGCTTCATAAACTGTATGCTTTCATATTGAAATAGAAAAGGAAGAGCTTGCTTTACACTGAAGGAAACAGCAAAGTTTTGATATCGTTAAGTTACTAGGGTTAACTATGACTTCAATAAGCCACTGTCTAGCTTCTTATAAGACACAGCAAAACAAAACCCCCAGAACAAGATAGCCCTCTTCTTCAGAATAAGATCGTATGATTTTATATTTTTAAAAGCCACATTGATAGAGGTATAAAACACATGAATGCAATCATAAGAAACTAGTTTACTTGTACCTCTAAACCCTTCTCTGGGTTTTAAAATGTAGGACTCCTTCCTTGTTTTGAGCACATTTCCTCTGCATTTCATGAGGTGGTGGCTCCCTGCTGCTTGAGAAGGTTCCCTTTATAGAACGCAGAACAATGAGTTTGGAGAACTTTTGATTGATAATAGCTTACATATGGTGTTACAGAAAAGGAGTCTATTTTAAGTATCGCTCTTCTCCGAGAAGGGATTTTAAAGAGGCACCATGTGCTCCAAACTTGCTGGCAATACACTGAGTCTCCTCTCAAAGCCTGCCTCTGGAACTGCTCCCTGGCTTGTGATGGAAACACACTAGCCCACTATAAACCTCACCAACATTCAGAGAGCGGTGGAAGTACAGGTTATTTCGATGCTTATGAAGTTTTGGCAGTATGGTAGCACTGGTGTGTAACATGCAACTCTGAAGAGAGTTCCTAGGAAACACATACCACTGTCAGGTATACGGGTCCAGAGCAATGGATATTTCCTCCACATAAACCCAGAGAAAGGGAAAAAACACCCGGTCATCATTCAAGCCTACTCTTCTCCCTAGTTGCTGAGTTTTTCACATTTATTTGTAACACATTCTTACAAGGAAATATGAATTGTAGTTAGAGACATTTTGAAACGTAATTGACCAAATATCAGGGAAAAGAAAGTATGTGAAACTTTTTTTCAGGTGAGTCTTCAGGTCTTTCTGACTTTTCATCAAGATCTAATTCCAAAACATAATGTTAAAGGCATCACATATGCTGCCTTTCAGATAAGAAGTTCATGTTTCTCACCATAATCAAGGATTCCAGGAACTATTCTCTCAGCAAATGCTACACAGGAAGGATCCTGTGACCTTGCAGCACTTCAACCGGCACTGAGAGCAATCTGCCAACTTAAATTCTGCCTACAATTTTTACGATTACACAGCACTTCCTTTCCTAAATAGTTGCATTGCCTTAGAAACTGTTTAATACTATTCACATACGGGTGAAATAATCCCTATCAACTTTAGTGATTCCAAATATTTCAAAGATCAAATTAGATTATTCTCATCAAAGTCTGTAAGAAAAAAAGCTTCCGTTTGTAGCAACTTATAAACACTTTTGTAAATGTCCACAGCTATGACTTGGAATAAAACAGAAATACGCAGAAAGCGTTATTTTTTTCTTATAATTTCTTTCTGACTTAAATGTGTTTTCTATAAATGCGTTATCAACACTGTTCAAGTACAAAACCATTTGCTCATGGTAACAAGATCACTAACAATTATTTGTCATCTGTGACAGGTTACTTGATAAAGCACATGATAGTGTTTCTGTTTCCTGGGTATCTACAACTTTGCATAATGGAAGCTACATAAAAGTGGCTGGTGTGGGAAGGGAACAATGAAACAACTTCTCTTCCTTTAACCATAAACCAGGCTTTGTTCTTAATTTTCACATACTGATCAGCAGATATGCATACAAAGAGTTAAACTTTAAATATTATCTGAGTTACATTTTCCCTCTATAGAAGTATATGCAGTAAGCAAGAAAGTAATACAAAAAAGTTCAGTTATCTGCTTTACTCACCCCACAAGGTGTTTGACATGGTGATCATCAAACATCAGAGGTTCATAAAACAATTCTTGACTGTGATGGAAAAAGATGGTGGTTATAAAACCAGCAAATTATGTTACCTATTTTTAGTTAAACTACTTCAGTGCTTGCATACTTTTTCCTAGCATCAGCATGAATTAACTACAGGCTCATTCCATAAATACATAAGGCCAAAGTTATCTCTAAGGTACAGCAAAGATTATTTTGTTCTAAATGAAAACCACCTGCATGTTAATGTAAAATAATGAAAACGTCATGGGTACATCCATTCATCCAGAGCTCAGTATTTTTTAAATTTCAAGTCAAAGACAGTACTGGTGCCTTCTGTTTGATTCAAAGAAAGGATTTATTAAGGAAGTTAACTTCACTGAGCTTGTAATACAAGTAAGCAAGCAAATTAACAAAACAACTTAGCATTGGACAGTCCTTAATGTCAGCATCATTGTTCACATCTATAACTAGAGACAATGGTGCTCCTCGGTCTTTTAAGTGATGGGTGACTGTTTGTACAGCATTCGTAGCAACAGCTTGTACCAGAACATAAAAAGCATTAGTTTAGGCAAAAACCTTGGCAGAAGGATTGAATTCAGCTTTACATCACAGTTCTGTGCAATTAATCATGACATTATGAAGGGCAAATACCTCAGTGTCTCACTGCCGGTCTTGTAATTTTAGAGATATTTTACACTGTGATATTTTTCTCATCCTCATGGGAGCTCTTCCTTGTCCCTTTTCCCTTCTGAGCAAGAATGCAAGCAGAATCTTTAAGACGTGAGGCACAAAGGTATTTTGCAGATTCAGGGCCCACCCACAAGCTTCTTTTCCCTGATGCTTCCAGCTCCAGGAACAATGTTTACCAGAAAGGAATTTATTTCCCTGGAAGAAGACAGGGAGTGGATAAATGCTAACACCAGGGAGCATTTCATACTCTTAATAAACCATCAATTCAAGTTAATGTATGCAGACTCACAGAATGCAACTGTGATGCTAAGGGAAAACATACGCTTCCCATACAGAAACAATAAAATCTTTCTGTCTTTCAAGATTCTCTTTCTTCTTCAGCCTGAGCCAATGCAGTCTAATCATAGGGAGTCATTTGGGAGAATCATGCAAAAATGTCTGCCTCAACTCATGCTGCATTGCTCCTTGCAGCATTTGGAAGCTGCTTTCTTTTCAATGAGCTATGCTTATTATACCCTATGCTTTGTTTATTTTTCCAAGAAAGGTCCCCTAACTCAAGCCAGTTTCTCTGAAACACCATTGCTCCATTCCTTGCCTCTGCTGCCTCACCATGTGAAATACAATTACTTCAGATAAGAGAGACACACCACGTCTGTTCTGACACCCTTTATCAATTACAAACTAGACAAGCTGATGGCCTAGCTGGTAGAGGTCAGAAGAGAGTCTGGGTCATGCATAGCTTGAAACTTTGCGTCACAAAACCTAGGACTGCAACTGGTTGATAGCTTCAAAGCAACACTTCCATCCACTGTTTCACTGCAACATTCTTCTCATAAGCACCTTAAATGGATAATACTAAAATTAAAGTCCAGAAAAAACTGTGACCATCTTGTAGAAAAAAGAAGGAGTTGTGGATTTGGTTTTTTGTTTGTTTTTTGTTTGTTTGGTATGATTTTGTTTTAAGGAATGAAGACATTAAGATGGCTTTTGAAGAGAGGACTCAAACAGATTTACCAACTTGAAGTACAACTGTAGCTAAAACAGCGGCACAATGACCTCCACATATGGATGTTAACTTACTCTGGCAGCCAAGAGGATAACTTTCCAGTCATCAAGATAACCCCCTTCCAGATCTTCTAACAGTCATGTTAACCAATAACAACACTCTTAACAAGCTGATCCAGTTACCTTAAGCTATCCCAAATAAACATTTTTTCAGCTTGTGGCCTGCCTCCTTCAGTGGTAGCAAATCTCTACAAGTGGTAGCAAATTCCAGGCAACAGGCACACTGAGGGTTAGAAATTTATTAGTAAAAATTCCCTTTATTGCTTCATAATCCCTGTTAATTCCTCTAAACTTCCACAGATGTGCTTAAGTGTCTATACACACAGGAGCAGAGGTGAACCATACAGATTTTATTCTAGGGCAAGAACTAAACTGGTCAAAAGGATCTTCTGTTCATTGGAAAAAAGTGATCCAGTTTCCTTGTGTAGCCTACTTCTTTGGCTAGAGAAAATAAACTCCCTAATGATTACAAAAATTATCTGTAATGTTCTAGATAGGGGAATACAAACTGGGTAGTTTAAATATTAAGGCTTTTATTTTATTCATTGGCACATATATCAAACTTTTTGAGGAACAGTTCACAATACAAGCACATCCTTCTGCACTCTGAGCTTCCTATCAGAAAAAGTAATGGTCAGGTGCTGATCTTGTTTATACCCATGGGACAATTATGAACTTTGGCCTTATGGAAGATGCAGTTTTAGTAAGTAGTGGGGAGTTTTGTTAATAGTTATGTGCATTAAAAATATATATATATACATTGAAGGGGAACATTGAGAGGCGGTCAGTGTTCCTACTGCATTCAAATTCTCCTGTGTTGGGAGGATTAAACATGCTTTCCCTTCCTAAATAGGACTGAAGAAAGCACGCAAGGTAAACTCCTCATAGTATTTTAAAAATCCCCCTTAACCAGAAAACGTGGAAAGCTTTAAGCCTCAGGAGGCAGTAGCTAGTAGGATTGCAATGGCTTTGACTTACAAGGTACAGCTGGGACAAGGACACCACCACCTCCTTTAAGTGAGGTGTATGCCACTTATGAAAAGGGAATCTCAAATGCAAATTCACAGACAAGAAAGAGCTATAAAACCCTTTCTTGTTTCCATGGGCAGGGCTAGTCAACTAGCTTATGCTTGTGTATGCTTCCACCTGCAAACATGGTTAAGTGCTGTGATCAGCTCCTGTGATTTTACTATGCTTCACATGGATCCTAAATCCCTATTTCCTACAAGCATGTGACAGTCTCAGTGACACTGGACAATACACACGCCTATTATTCAGCATCACAGAGAAAAGCCTTAAAAAGCATGCCTTTAATGAGCATACAGCCTCGGAAAGCCAGAATAAACCAAAAGCAAACAGATATCAGAGTTCAGTTCGGTTTACAAAAAAGTTTTACAAATATTAAGCCACTACCCTCAATTTTGACTGCTTGTGGTTAGCAATGGTGGATCAGAACAACCACCATCTAAGGGGGAACATAAGTATGTAACACCAGGACACCAACTATGCAGATGATCTGACGTAACAAGCTTCATCTGGGGACAGTGGGCTGCCCAAGCACTGGTTCAACTGCAGAGACAAGGCTTCACAAGGGAGAACTGCTGCTGAAAGAAGGCACAACCTTGCAACCCAGTACTGCAGGGCCAATCACATGCAGAAACAGAATATAAACGATTTCTCACACTTCCAAAAAGCTCATGACGGCTGGACCAGGCTGATAAATGAGCAAAGAAGCCAGTGACTTTTGAGTCATTTGGGAGCCCAGAACATTTTCTAAATTAAAACCAGCAAAGAAGCAAGAGCTGGAATAGATAGCCAAGAGGGGGGAAGGAGAGGAATAAACCTGTCTTTGCCCACAATTAAATTGTTCGGCATTATGCTGACTGCTGCCACACAAGAGGTCCTGGGGAGAAGCAGCATATGCTGCAGTAGTACTCTTTACTCATGAGAGTGAGCATGGTGAGATTTTATCACCACTGGCTAAGAGGTACAGCTGTTAACCAGAGCTGCATAAAGCAAGAAGTACCTTCTACTTTTCTTTTTCTAGTGATTCAGAAACAGCTCATGAGAAGGATGGGTTAGGGCTTATAAATAAGATGAAGCTTTAAGGTAACCTAACAAACACAGGAGGGAACTTGCAAGAGAATGAGGGATGTGTTTCTTCTGTTTTGGCAAGAAGTACAATACACAGTTTGATTGCTGTACCAAAAAAAGTGTTGCACAGCAATTCAAGCTCTGCCTCTTTTCAATGGCCTGCACATGCCTCCCCCCCAACCCCCATCCTGACTGCCAGGAAGGTCTGACTTTGGCTCTCTGAATATCCCAGAGGTCCATGTTAAATAGGAAAGAGAATTATAATGTAGAAAAATAAGCCACTGATACTTAAGTCTTAAATCAATATTAGAACAGGAAGCTTTAAACGGTTATATAGGTCAGGGAAGTATCTAAAGCCCAAACACTGGGTAATTTGATTCATGGAGAGAGCTCTACTGCTTGAAGGAACTGCTGCTCTGGGTACCCAGGCTGTCCCCCACATAACACCACATTTTACTGCTTCAAGACCATGCAAGGGTAGAACAGGTCTGGTTTCACACAAAGCTGGTCTTTGAACTGCACTCAGGAGGAGAGGAAAGTCATAGCTCCCATTCTGTGACAAAGCAACACACACAGTAAGCCTCAAGAACACATTCTGAGTAGTTCTTAAGAAAACTCAAAGTGGGAAAGAGAGGCTTGGATTTGTAAAAGGAATCTAAACCTGGAATTATAAAGCCTGCAATGTGACAGGCACTCTGGTTGTAATTCTGACCAAAAAAACCCACCACAAAACAGAAAAACCCCAAACAACCAACAAACCAAAATTCCTAGAAATCCACAAAATTTAAAAAGCTACAGTAAAACTATGCAAACAATGGTACTTGTATGGAGTATTTGGTAGGACTGGGGCTAGTACACACAGCAGCACCTTATATTGTTGAATGCCCAGGCTTCTTACAGAATCACAGCCTATTCTGAAGCATGCTGAAATCAAAGGGAGTAATTTATAAGACTCAATATGTTTTGACTCATGTCTTCTGTGAGCTGACTTCAGCAGAACAACTGCTTAATACCATTCACTAAGTCGCTGAAAAATGCTTGGTACTCAGGCCTCGGAAGAACAGAACCATCACGCCTCAAACAATCAAAACTCATGCTTTAAAAGCACATGCTAATCAAGCACAAATACTGGAGGCAGATTGTGACCCGACAGAAACTGCACCAGGAAGAGACTAGAGAATTGCATTGTCTCA